CCCCCCCCCCCCCCCATAAAGAATTATAAAGAAACACTCGGCTGCTCACCCAGCACCCCCCTAGAAAAACATTGCTGGATCCAACCCTGTAATTATACCACACTGCAACTGAGAAAATCGCGAAAATGAGAAAATTGCGAAACTACCTAGATGCTATTTTTCTGTTTAGATTATTCTTATATGAGTTCGACAATCTACAATCAGTGTTAATCTATCGACGAAATGGAAAATAATGCAGTTTTCACGTCTTAACAAGAAACCTGTATAGCAGTGCAACAAATGTGATAAAATTTACAACCAACGAAATTTCCGTTCCTAACATTCAATCGACCTCTAATCATTTGCAAATGGCCAGCTCAATGGGTATGTTTTGTAGTTTGATTATTGTCTTTCTGAAATATATACCGTACTTAATTTGTTGGATGGCATGCCTTTTTTAAAAATTTTAGTCTTTTTCTGCTAATCATGCAACTACGGTTTTTATACATGTTTGTTCGTTCATGCTTGTTTAGCAATCGCATTCAAACGAAGTATCTTCATATAATTATAAACAATTTCAAATCAAGCTTGTGTAAGAGTTTTTGGAATATTTTACAGTAAATACAAAGACTTCGGTAAAACAATTTTCGATAAAATCCATGCATGAAAAAAATAGAACAGTGAAATAATTCCTCTCACAGTCTCACGTCAGCATTATACATAGATTTAATTTAGTTTCCAGGCTGACCGTGTGAGATTTGTGCGTGCCCAGGTTGACCAGAAAACATGGCACAAACGGGGGGAAATATAGGTTATCATGAATTAGATGATATAAAAAATGAAGAAGAGGTGCAGTTTTATCTGGCAAAAATATATCACAATAATCAATATTAATTAACAATTATAATATACAATGCATGCATGCACATTTCAACTGCAGGCACTTAAAGTCAATCCATCGCATTTCGTTGAAAGGTTCGCCACTGTATGCATCGCTTATTTATTGAGTAACATAATATTATGGAAAAGGTAGCTAAATAATTAACACGATCACAATTGCATTGCAACTGTACAAATCTAAATATATGACTTCATCTCGTGAAACATCCAACTTTAATGCACAGATCATACATATTTATCATATTTTTTATTCAACTTTTTGTTCTTAACTGGTATGAAAATTTTGCATTGAATCATTTAATATTTTTATTTAAAATTTTGGATTAACTGCATGGTATGAAAAGTTTGCATTTAAACTTTTCAAAATTATTAATATCGACACCAAGCATGTCATGAATATGCCTGAATTGCATGCATGAACACGTGGATGAGTTGTAAAATGCTCGATCAACGCATGTAATTACATTTCACTGCTTGGTAAAATTTCACTGCTTGGTACCCGTACAGTATACAGTCAGGTCAACCCCATACTTTTGCATTCCTTTGGTATATCGACAGAATGTGCCAGCCTGGCATGGCATGTCGAAAGAATAGTCGAACTCTTCGACCATATAATTATACCACACTGCAACTGAGAAAATCGCGAAACGTGTCCATGTTATTCTCGTCGCGTACGCGCTGTGAATACTCGTACTGTTAGATATCATGCAGTGTTAAATAATGTAGAATGATTGAATTAACGCTTCTACTGGGTGCCTATAGACTTGCCCACAAGTCGATTTACGAACCGCGAAAAAAAAACTGGAAAGGACTTTGGAAAAGTCTACTGGGTTCCATGTTATGCAGACTAAAATTAAGTAATTAACACGTGTTTCTCCATTACTTAAACGTAGAATTACACAACCTCCATCCGTGAGAACATCTATTGAATATATACTTTCTCGATATCGCAAAATACTTGGCTCCCGGTTTCAATTATCACGAACAATTCCCCGAGTTGCATTGTAATAGTGAGTCCCCAGATTGTTCATAGGATTGTAGGCGAATCAGTCGATATAAATACAACAATGTTAATGCGTTCGTATTGATTTATAAAGATCGTTATACGCTGCTCGCCGTGATTGTGTGCATGTTTTATATCTACCCCGTCACGATATGCAATATAATCAAGCCATTCTATGCTTATTTTATTGAAATGGCATTGATTGTGGTAAAGGTATAATGTATTCGCATCAGCTCCCCAAATTCGTTTACATAATTTTCCACCGCGGATATATGCGTTTTGTCTTTTTCGTGATACCTGTGGAAAATTATTGAAGGTCCCCCGACGATATTTTCTTTAAATTTATAATACAAATCCTTATCTCTTTCTTGAAACAAACTAAAAACTTATTTTGACCGAGGTCGGAAAAAAGTTTTTCAGTACTAACCCTGGAACATAATATGTTCATGAACGTAATAAGTGTTAACAATATTTAGTTGGTCAAATGTATGACATACCCCATCTATTCGCTATTCGTTGATTTGTTCAAAGACGTCGGAGAACCGATCCAACAACAATGCATAACTCTTTTGACTGATTTTTACCAAATAGTCCACGAACTCTTTAATCATATCACTTGCACAGCCAGACGAAACGAAACATTTTGGTCGGTTGTAACCAGATACGTTTGAGTGTACGGAAACACTTAACGGGATGTGTTCAGCTTCCCACGTAAGTTTTGCAGTATTTTGAAGATGTTCTGTTTCACGCTTAAAATAACATTCAAAGTCAAACGTAGCTCGATACGGGAAATATTTCAACTTCTTCTGGGATTTCAATTCCTTCGTCCGTGAGCAGATCAAAGATAGTTTGTGGTACTTTATAGGCACCACCAGGGAAAACGTGACGTACCGTGGCTTCGCATGTTCTCTTGTGTCTATTGAGAGCTCTCGCAGATTTCCATAATTTCTCACATTTCAAGCAACAGTACGATTTCGAGTACATTGTCATGTTCTTAATGTAACTAAAATGACTTCCATAAAGGTTAAGGTTCATGGAATTCGCATAGGCACGGTGGGATCGTTGTATGAGTTGGGCCACAATATCGGCCTTGTCGTTCATAACATTCTATGAGTCGATATACATGAATGTTAAGTTCGAACATTTTTTCCAGCTCTGGTGATTCCTCGAGAGTAACACCATCAAAATCATCATCTTCAGAATACCGTTCGAAGTAATGCTGAGTGTCACGTTCTAAATTATGTGGGTGACATCTACGGTGTAGGGCCAAACAACGAAATAAACAGAGATTATCTTCGTATGGTAAGCCAGTTTGTCCATTACAATCTAATGATACGATGGCAGGATTCTCCAGCACGTATTTAGGCAAACGCCTGCTACGACCGATGGGATGATCTCGAAGCTTTGTCACGTAGAAGGTGGCGTTAGTGATATCCATGACGACCCATTTGGAATTCGGTCGTCGTTGCCGTGCCAATTCAAAAACGTCCAAGTTTTCCAACGTTGCACGGACTTGGTCTAAATCCTCACGGTTACGCATGAGGAAGGGAGCGTCGAACACACGATTATTGTTGGCAGACGAGTGATGATATTGCATTTGTTCCGTGTCGTTGTTGAATAATACGAAACCAAAGGAGAGATTCAATTTGAACATTGTGGTTTGATCTTCGAATGTACGCTGTACATCATTCACTAGCTGACCCATATCTAGCGAACTTAACCGATAATTATACCAATCTTGTACTCGGTTGCCCCGGCCGACTTTTTCTTGTACGGATAGCGCGCCAATTGTTTCGGTGGAGTGGGGAAGGTAGGTTGGATAGGGGTAATAGGGGATCTTGAGCGAATAGTTGGGGTCCTATAGGAATAAATTATAACTAAACACCCGATTCCTTATTTTTGCCTAGAGCTCCGCACTAATTTTGTTCACACAAACACCAGATTCATAATTTCTACATAGAACACAATCGTGTTACAATGACATGCATGCAAACATTTTAGAAAAGTAATATGTGTAAGCGACTATAAATATACGCGCAATAAACATAGAAACAGAAATTTACATAGCCTTAGTAAATTACGAGAGCGTTTAGGAACCTAATTACTACCATGTTTATAAGACGCATATACGGTATAAAAAATAGAATTTACCAATAATGCCTTCGTTGACGACGGTGAACTTAGATGCTCCTTCAAAGAGAAAATACGTAGTAGTGATACTCAAATTTAACTTGACAACGTTACATAGCAACGGATCGGAACATACACAACAAAATATATTTTTCTTACCATGCATCGTTAACTGGTGTCGAAGGTCTTGAAGGTTCTTCTTAATAGAGGGAAAATGTCTGTTTGAATACAAAGTCAGTAATCGAAATATTTTCATCCAAAAAATATATACATACTCGGTTTATCAGTTCTTTGCCTTTTTGCCGAGTTGACGTCTTGGTACGTTTCCCACCGCTGACCTGATGGACCTCGCGTTGGTGGGCTTGTAGCGGGAAAATGTTGCGGAATTTTTCGCCACAGATGTTACGCCTACACAGATGTTACGCGTACCTTTCGGCACCACGTCTCGTTCTGTGCATTTTCATGTATCTTGTAAGCTTACCCCTGAAAAATTTGCCACATTCTTGGCAAGAGAACAACTTTTCTCCAGAATTGTAGGATTGAATGTAAGGTTATCTGGACGAGTAAATACACGACTACATTCATCACAGCATAACTCCGCTTCAGTCACGACGTCTTAATTGTCGCCAATCATTCCATTCAGCCACAACTTGTTCTTGGATTTCTAGGGACCAAGAGTCAAACATTTCATCTACGGCAACGGTACAAAGCTGGTGATTGACCTCATTTTCCAAATCACTCATGAATTGATCTTTCCTGCTAAATATAAAGTCGGACTAAAACGATCTATGTATATCAAACCAAATATCAAAGTCAGCTTACAAAATATTCTGTCATCAATTTTACGCATGTGTTTGTACTCGAATTCCCAAATGCAAACCATTCTATATATCCACGACCTTCCAAGCATCGTTGTCTCTCAAGAGTTCGGCGATAAACCTTGTTCATAGGTAAATTACATTTTTCATTAAAATAATGAGTGTTTAGTTCGCAATCATGTCCGTGAAAATAACAACCATTAAACTCGTAAATTGTATTATTTGTAGAATCAAAACCGTCGACTACAAAACGCCATATACGCTGCTCGCCGTGATTGTGTGCGTATATAATATATCTATATTATTCATCTCGGCAAAGAAGCTCTCACCACAAAAGGTTGAAAGCAAATGAGAAACCTACACTAAGAGATTTATCTCAATAATATGCAGTAAGAAAGAGAACACACTCATATACACGGATATAAACAATTTATTTCCCTTTAAATACAGTTATTCATATTTCTTAAGAAATTCTTCATACGCTTCCTTACCGTTAATGTTAGTACTAATAAATGTTTCTCTAGTGTCTTCGCTCTTGTATCGATATTGAAGCGGATCACTGAATAGGACGAAGCAATGCAGTCTTAGTCACGCGAGGCTCGTTCTCTTTCCATTCGAAGAACGATCCACAGCTGTCTATTTGAGGGCAACAGTAAAATAACCGACTCTGATTGGGTCCTTTCATTTTATCTTTCACGACGCGTAACTTTGCGAGTCTCTGATGTATTGGGCAAATGGGATGATTGGAACCACTATTTTGACAGGCTTCCATCCCTCTCGTCACAGTTCGGCGTTTCGCCACAAAACTAAAACGTACCACGAACAGTTGTTGAACTTGCTGCTGGTCTACCGTGAAAACATTCTATCGCGATTGTTGAATACAGACTATGCATGTGAAAAGACGCTAGCTGTAAGTATACTGACTTGATAGCGCTATTTCGTTCGTAACGATTAATGATTGTAACATTCGTGGGTCTTAAAGAGGTCGATGTGACGTCATTGGCGGCTCCCTGTGAACTCCAGTCGTGGGGGTGTTACTACCTTTATATCTACCCTGTCACGATAGGCAATATTATCAAGCCATTCTATGCTTATTTTATTGAAATACTCTTCTTTTTTGAAGTCGTTTTCTTTCCTTCGCCTAACATAATACCCGGTTGGCATTGGTTGTGATAAAGCCCAAAGGTATAATGCATTCGCATCAGCTCCCCAAATTCGTTTACATAATTTCCCACCGCGAATATGCGTTTTGTCTTTTTCGTGATACCTGCAGAAAATTATTGAAGGTCCCCCGACGATATTTTCTTTAAATTTATAATATAAATCCTTATCTCTTTCTTGAAACAAACTAAAAAGAGTATTTTGACCTAGGTCGGAAAAAAGTTTTCTAGTACTAACCCTGGAACAGAACTCTTTTAAAAGATCTAAATTTCTCGGTTGATCAAACATTTTTTCAATTGCCTCAACAAATGGCTCCACGTCAAGGTTGTTGTACCACAGTAAATAATCTTTAAACGTAACCATCCTCTCGTTTCGCCAAACAGAACAACAGAAACTGTACTCATCTGCGTTCATGCATGTTTGTGTTTCTCAGAGCTCTAAAAAATAATCATGGGTCTCGTAGTCTAACTTTGCGATATCATCAAATCATTCGTAGGGGAAAAAACCTTTCTGTGGAAAAAACCTTCCTGTGCTGTGCACTCGTATGCTTTAAGAAACTGGCCAGTAAGTAGCTCCATATGGAGGCCAAAGGATGCCGACAATGACGAAACACTGGAAAAGTCATCAACAATAATTAGTGAAAATGCTTGCGAACGTATTGTCATATTCATTGTCGTGTATGTAATATAGCACATAAATGTAGAGAAGACGATTGCGTAGAAACATTAGCAAAAGCTAACAAAATGTGTTATCATTAAATATATTACAAATCGTAAGAATTGATTACATAAAATATGTGTCTTGTTGATTAAGGATGGAATCGCCGCATCGTGCATATCTTCCACGTTGTTCCATTCCACTCGCAAAGCACACAGCAATGTGGAATCCCACGGTTGTCGATCGACACATGGCGCATGTAATGTTTTGCCTTTTTCGACGCTGTTCGCGTTTCCATCTTCTAAAATACCTTAGATATATGTAGTGATCACAACAAGGTGTCGCAATTGCCCTAGTTTGTCCAAATCGAATTTCCTCTACATCTAGACATACATAACAATCCTCTATCTCTTTTGGTTCACGTCCAACAGTGCTACACAATTTCGTGGGCACGCCACGATGGTCTAACAATGGTCTATTAACGAACCTTCGGGCTCAGGCAAAACCGTTTGGGTAAAAACATTTCTTGAAAACTTACCGCAAATGATTAACCGAAACGTTGATCAGATCATATATTGTTATGGGGATTACCAACCTATTTTTAACGACATACGACAAAACATGCCAGAGATGCAATTTTATGAGGGCAATTTATCGGTTATGCCTTTCCTGATGTCAAAGGCATAACCGATCCGTCCTTTCATAAATTAATGATCATTGATGACCTCCAAAATGAATTATTGGATAATTTAGAACTTGTAAATTTGTTCACCAAAGGCTCGCATCACCGCTCCATTTCAGTAATATTTTTACAGCAAGTTTTATTTAATAATCACTCAATTGCCACGATGTGGTTGTTTTCAAAGGCTTTAGAGAGCAGACAGTTATTTCAACCCTTGCCCGCCAAATGTATCCCGGTTGTGGTTAGTATATTTAATTGAAGCTTATTATAAAGATGCGACCGAGAAAGCCTATTCCTACTTGTTAATAGATCTGCACCCTGAAACTGAAGATAAATATAGATTACGTGCAAAAATATTTGTGCGCTAGAGCTTAGAGCTGTGTGCCCCAGTTATTTTGTCATGTCTGTTCACATGAGAAGGAACGTTCACCTACTTAAAGTTTTACATCGAGCGAAACCCAAGCTGCATGCGTAAAGCAATATTAAAACATTTAGAGCCGAGTTGCATTAAGGCAATCTGTGATTGTGTATTAAATATTTTAAAGAGTGTAGTTAAAATGTCACCAGTTAAAAAGAGGAAGCTAGTATGGTGGTTCTTATCAGAACCGTTTTGCAGAAAATCCACCGTTCATCACTACTTGTTCACGAAACTAACGTTGGTCGTTTTCTTCATCTCTGGAGAGGGAGAATGTTCCATTCCTCCCAGCCATGCCTCTTGGTAGTGTCCACGCTGGACTTCCTGCTCCTCCCTTCTTTCAGCGTTGTCCATCCTGCTATACGGTACTAATGCTATAGAATCTGGCCTATTTATGTAAAGCACCCTCTCAAACAGTAAAAAAGAGCGGTCGTGGGCGACAAACTTGATAGACAATTATTTCCAATCTTTACTCTTATACACTCTGTAAACATCGTCTTTTTTAACGACTTTTTGCATGAAGTTCAGTTTCGTAAAATATTCCATCAAGAATTTCCTTGAACTGAAATATAACGGAGAAACTTTGTCAAATACAAATATCACTAATCTTGTAAGCGATTCGCTTAAATACCGAAAAAAACAATAAGCCTAAAGATATACGAAGTTTTTACGAAAGCATTGAGTGAAATTAATCTTCCAGAAGATTTAATACGAAACCCTGAACGACTTCAACTTTTCAAAACTCACGTGTACGAAAAAAGTCCTGATAAAGAGCATCAGTCACCAGAAAATGACAAACTGGCATTTTCGGCGGCCAAGAAAAGGGCTGGAAAATTGCAATGGAAAACAAACTTTTAAAATACTTGATTATGTTTAGGGGCCATTCACAAAGGATGTCCGAGCCGAGGGGGGGGGAGGGGGGGTTGGAAAATCAGGACAAACTAGGACATAGGGGGGGAGGGGGGTGTTTTAGCAATCCGGATGTCCGAAATTTAAAAAAAATTCAAAAACAAATTTCTTTTTTCCCTCTATTTTGAGCAGTCTTTCCCATTGTGAAATTGGCATTTTGACTATGCGGTTAACACTAGATTTTGTTTTAATTAGTAATTTATATGTTTTTGTGTTCACATTTACAGTTATAAAAAGTTCTAAAAGTAAAAAAAGTTTTTTACTCTTGATATATACAAGATTGCATGAGTTTTTGCGAGGCATGGCGGATGTCCGGGGGGAGGGGTGGGGTCACTAATTCGGACAATGCCGGACAAGGGGGGGAGGGGGTCTGAAAATCCATCATTTGGCCGGACATCCTTTGTGAATGGCCCCTTACGCGACGTTGTTAATCACAACATCTGAGAATAACTATAAGTAGGTCGTTTACAACTTGCCTCAATCGCTGGCTGCAAAATAAAGTCTGTCGAAGTATTTCGTGTAATGCACTCAGAGTGCATTATGCACTCAGAGGAACAGTGGATATGCACTCAGAGTAACATCACAAACATATTATTCACCTGAGTACACAACACCAGCACAGAAAAAAATTAATATTACAAGAACACATTGGTATTGAAGGAACTAGATACTGTTCCGAAATATCACTTACTCGAACCGTCCTGACCGCGTAGCTCAGTTGGAAGAGCATTGGACTAGTATTCCAAAGGTCGTAGGTTCGAATCCCACCGTGGCCGGGCATATTTTTCAAGCTCGCCCGGTGTGGATATGCACTCAGAGTAACATCGCAAACAAACTATGAAGTTGTTAGAAAAGACCGTAATCGCTATGGGGGAGGAGTATGTATATACATAAAAAGTCATATCAATTATAGAGTTCGACATGATTTAATTAATCCTGATATTGAAGCTATAATTATTGAAATTATAAAACCAAACAGCAAACCATTTGCGATTGTTGCATCGTATAAGCCACCGGAATTTTCTCCTGATATATTCTTTGACCAAATGACGACTATAATCAAACAGCTTGAACAGGAGTCAAAAGATATATTTATATTCGGTGATCTAAACTGTGACTTATTAGGTAACAGGTCTCATATGGCAACTTCGCTTTTAAATTCATTTGCGCAAATTTATCAGCTTCAGCAACTTATTGATGAACCTACAAGATGTACTGCAAGCACCAGAACATTAATTGATGCCGTTTACACAAACTGTCCTGGTAAAGTGGCTGCATCTGGTGCTATACGCTTAGGAATAAGTGACCATGTTCTTATCCATGCCATAAGGAAAGTAGCAATAAAGCCTATTACGAACAAACATATGCATAAAGTGGTCAATATAAGAAATATGAAAAATTTTAATGTTGATAGCTTTATAAATGACCTAAGTAATCTTCCCTGGTCAAATTTAGATTGTCTTTTAAATGTTAACGACCGGTGGGATTTATGGAAAAAAATATTCGTGACTGTAGTAGATAAACATGCGCCATTCAAAAGCAAGCGAGTACGAAATAAAAACAATCCTTGGATGACTCCTGAAATAAGAACACTTTTGATAAACCGTGCCAAACTAAAAAGGAAAGAGGTGATTTCGAATGATACAGATAATTGGCTTCACTTTAAACTTGCCCGAAATAAGTGTGATAATATGCTGAAAGAAGCAAAAGAGATTACTATCATCGGTTGTTTGCATTCAACAAGGGAAACACCAAAGAAATTTGGAATGCAATAATTGAGTTAATGTCCCGAAGCTCGAAATCTCAAAATATTTCTTCTCTATTAATTAATAAACAAAAAAGTAGTAACAAACGACACTGAAATAGCTGAATGTTTAAACCAATATTTTGCTGAAATATGATCCAAATAAACAAACAACGCATCACAATCTACCAATGGCAAAGATTTTCATCATTACGCGCAGACAGCTGCCACTGGAACGATGTTTACATTACGCCCAACTACTTCGGATGAAGTTATTAAATTAATTTCCTCAATATCTGATAAGAAAGCTACAGGTCTAGATCAAATTCCGTGTAAATTACTTAAACTCTCTGCACCTATAGTTTCGAAATCATTGTGTGATATTTTTAATTTATCTATTCAAACAGCAATATTTCCTGATGCGATCGTATTGTCTTTGATCAGCTTTACACCTATTTCAATAAAAACAATCTGTTACACAAGAATGAATCAGAGTTTAGGAAGTGCCATTCTACTATGACTGCACTAATAGATGCCATTATTGAATGGCTTGCAAACATGGCCCAGGGAAAGCTTAATGCGGTTGTTTATATTGATCTAGCGAAGGCATTTGATACAATAAGTCACGGGATATTGCTCGAGAAACTCCGCATTTACGAGGTTGATACAAATAGTTTATCCTGGTTTCAATCATATTTGCAAGATCGCAAACAAAAATGTTGTGAATGGTGTTCTATCCGACGAACGTACCATTAACTGCGGTGTGCCTCAGGGGTCAATTCTTGGACCGTTATTGTTTCTCACATATATTAACGATCTTCCTCAGTGTCTAAAACATTCTACAGCTCGAATGTACGCTGACGATACAAACATCGATTCGACAGTCGAGACTACGACAGGAACATCCATTCGAGAAATAGTAACACATGCTAATGATGACCTAAATAATGTAAGTGACTGGCTGAAAACAAACAAACAAACTCAGCCTTAACGTGACCAAAACTGAGTACATGTTCATTGGATCAGATCAAAACCTTGACAAGTTAAGAGATGTACCATTACTATTTCTTGAAAACAAAGCTATAAAAAGGGTCAAAGCAACCAAGTCATCAGGGGCACATATTGATGAAAGACTAACATGGCACGAACACATTCAAAATATTTCAAAAAAAGTAGGTGCTGGAATTTCAGGTTTAAGGCGGGTAAGGGAGTTTGTCCCATTATCGACATTGTTAACAATTTATAACTCATTGATACAACCATTATTTGATTACTGCGATGTTGTTTGGGACAGCCTTCCTGCTGCTAGTGCTATAGCATTCTACAAAAGTTGCAAAATCGTGCCGCTAGAGTTATTACTCATTAAGGTTATAATGTCAGATCCAATGAAATAAGGAAAACACTACACTGGAAAACTCTTGCTGAAATGCGAGACACACACAAATTAACTCTGATGTATAAGATATTAAACAATTTGGCACCAAAATATTTAAGAGACCATTTTGAAATGTCTGCCATAGATAATTTTTATACATTAAGAAATAGAAAATTATGCCTTGTACTACCAAAGCCTCAAACTGAATATTTAAAGAAAAGCTTTGCATTTTCAGGGGTAAAATTGTGGAATACTTTACCTGAAGATATAAAATGCAGCAACAGTTTGAGTCAGTTTAAAAAAAGGGCAATAATCACATCATCAGCTTCTAGCTAAAAATGTATATATATTCGGCTTTCTTGTAAAGCAGTGCTATATATGCACTGAAGAATTTCCGAATTCAAATAAATATCTCTGACACTTGTTGACAAGTTGTGAGATTTCTACGTGTTACAATATAGCCATTACTTACTTTGTTTTTTTCACGCTGTTGGTCCATATTTAGGGTTTCACAACGCCTTCTTTCTTCCTTCAAATAAAACAACAAAATATAATATTTATACATTGAAGAACCGGGCCATCCAAACAGGGAAACCATAGGGTAATAGACGTCTGTGTTAATAAACGTAGCAAAGATTATCCATCAATGAAAACTATACCTGTTTATTTTCGATGTATTGAATTAAAGTTCAAGAAAAGCATATTTCAATCCGGAGAACTTTAATTAATTGTATTTAGTATATATTTAGTATAATAATTGTGACCTTCCTTGGGAAAACATACGTTAACGGTTTTGAAAAACGTTCTGAAAAATCGTTCGTTATCCGTTCGTTATCCGTTTAAACGCTTTAGGTTTCCGTTGAAACGATATTTGAGATCGTTCAGACTTCTTAATGGACCGTTCGAACGGTTGGACAAAAACGCTTGAAAAATGCTGCTAAATCGTTCGAACGACTGGCACAAAACGTTCAAATACGTTCATGAAGCCGTTTAAATGCCTTACAGAACGTCTTTACAATGTTTATAAGCTGGCTTTGTAGGCATTTAAAAGTTTATCTGAAACCGCTTGTCTTGTAGGATTTACAAAAAAAACACACTATTATAGTATTACAGACAGCAGTATAATATAAGTTCGCCACCCCTCACAATATTAAATATTCTTTATTAGAGCAGCGTCGAAACTGCTGCGGTGAAATACTGCAACAATAAAATTGAGCAAAAGGTTTCTCGAATGTTAAAAGGTTGCTTAAATCCGCGAGCTTGCCGTTTCCGTCTTTTAATAGCATCAGCTTAGTGTCAGCTAATTCACTTTAATTTAATAAGTTTTATTATTATTCTGGCCGAATAACTAAGAGTCGTTATGGTAAAAATACAATTGTATCAAAACAAACATATAATATTGATCTTAATAATATACCTGCATGCCTCACCAGTTTAGACAGCGAATTTTGCCTATATGTGCCGAATATAATACAACGATTGAAAGCGGCAGTAGATCGGCGTCTAATTGCCTAAATCAATTAATTAATACTCGCAAGGTTTGAATAACTACGTGCGACACGGCACAAATTTCGCTAAATCATGTCACATTGTCCAGGAAAGACTCGACATCAGTTTAAACGACGCGCTTTTCATGCACCGAAGTTAATGCATTTTAACAGTTTCACGCAACTCGTCGTAATACATTACCAGCAATGAAATAACATATGACATTTCCAACATAGTGCATGTATATATATATATATATATATATATATATATATATATATATATATATATGTATTTTTTGTACGACATTTGTAGAAAGTCCAGCACTGAATTTGCAACAACGCGGGTATAGCCAGAGTAATAACACGTGCATACATGCACGGTGCATGTTGCCAGACGGCAAATGAGCCGGTATTAATTATTCAACTTAGTTTGATGGGAATCGGCATATTAATACCTGCATGACTGGCACCCATAAACCTATAATTATAATATTAACAAATTCGTGTTGTATAATGTGCACAGATGGACTTCATCAGGTCGTTTAAAACAGTACAGCAGAGTTCTATATAGAGAAGAGTTTTTTAAACGCTGCCCTATGCATGCATGCAACGGCTTCCAAAACTAGCGTATGAGAAAATTAGAAAAATATATAGGGAGAGTTTATAATTATTTGATTAAATAATAACTAGGTATGCATATATAGTTGAGTAAAATTAATGGAGTAGCATGCATGTATGATATACTGTCAGATATAGTATCACATTGTAATGGTTTTATCCGAACGGCAACGACGCAAACTGTACTCGAAGACCATGGCCGCGTGCGAGGCACTCTCCGTTTCAATTAAATTTACACACAACACTATTCGCCGATTATTTTCTTATGCGAATACTACGATTGTTACTTTGATTCACAGCTGGTATTCTCCTGTCACCAACCGAAACCGATATTGTTTCACTTTCAGTGTCAAAAAATGTTACAGCCAGCTACTGGCTATTTATTAGCTTGATCTGATCCACTTATCTGCATAGGGAAAACGTCCAAGTTGATATTAACCCTGGTCTCTGAGGCCTTTTAATTTAACTGCTAGCTTTATTGAACTATTTCACAAAATGGCCGATTTTATAAAAGATGCGGGAATCAGCTACAGCTACAACATAAAGAATAATAAAGCACAGTTAGTCAATCATGCAATTTTTCCTGTTAATTAAACTATTCATGCATTTATTCCCGGCGAGTTTTAGAAGGTTCTCTTGCAGCGTGTGCTTACATGTGTAAAATGGGATGTTTCAGGATAGAATATTATCACATTTTTGGCGTTTCAAACACTTTTTATAATTATTTAATTGACATGGCTAATAGAAATTTTGTGCCTTCCGTCTTTCGGGAGCTATTGTGCTATAATATCTGATATAAGCAGGTGTTATAAGTACAACAACTGTCATAACTCTTTAATTATCGCGAGGAATCTCAAAGATATAAAGAATTATTCCGATAGGCGATACCCTAATTTTCTATTCAACTAGTCGCATCCAGCCCTGCTGTCGACATTACTCGGTTAACATATCGATTTTTCCTTCAAATCAAATCAAATCAAATATAACTTTATTTCATCCAGAGTAGTCACGTCAGTTCAGAAGAACTACATGGTATCAACGTGAGCTAGCCCTGAATACTAACTAATTACTAAATAAATTTAAATTTTGTTTTTTTGAGATTATATGAAGATTTTACAAAATATAATATAATAAATAATCGTACAGTTTACAATAATTAATTATAGAATCTATGCTAGAAAGATCATATTATGGATTTCTAAAGTGCTCTATGACTCTCTTCCTAAAGTTTATGAAAATATTTTCTTCCCGAATATACGAAAAGCAAACGGTTAAAAAATTGTGGGTCTCTAGCATAAAAGCCCTTACTCCTAAATACCAGTTTAACTTTAAGTATATCACATTTATGCGCGCAGTTTTTCGTTATTCTGCAAGGATTTGATAAGTCGGATGATATTTTCGTAAGAAAGGTGGAACTCTGATTGTTTACTTAAAAACTAAAATGGCAGTATGCATTTTTCTGCGGGAAATTAGCGATGTTTAGTTCGTATGACTGATACATGTCTATGATTTTTTCTGCTCTTGTTTGTAGTTTTTTTCTAGTTTGACTAGTTTGTGTTAGTGCTGTGTCGTTGAGAGTGTCCCAAACAACGTCACAGTAGTCAAAGACCGGCAGTACCATATAGCCGTATAGACTTTATTAATAGCAGCATATAACTAGTTAGGAACGGCTGACTTCTGGTCATACTGACCTAACCGTTTTCCTACTTTCATCTTCAGGCGACTATTTACATGTTCAATAAAATTAATGATAAACCTCGTTCTAAGTAGACACCGAGATGTCACATTTTTCTTGCAGTTCAATTCTTAGATCATCGTTCTGCAGTGAAAAGCGTGCAAATAGTGTTCCAAACAGAACAGATTTCGTTTTATCCTTATGGATATGCATATGTAGCATATTATCATAAACCTTATTAATTTATTAATTTAAACCACATATCTACCTTTCGCCAAATCATCAGGCACTGACGCACTGTCCCTGTAGTGTTGAATTTTGCATACTTCAGCACCCTCGCGGAATATCACGGTATCATCAGCGTACATTCATAGGATCTCAGAGTTCGATGGAACAGATGGAAGGTACTTAACCCACCTTTTCCGATATTTTCAGGTTATAGCTTTCGTGTCGTGCAGCGTGATAAGAAACACTTGCATTACATGTCACAAAAAGTGACATTAATTAGATTATTTTAATTACCTTTTCAATCAAGCAACAAATATTACCTTGCAAAGCTCAAGTTGCGCCAATGGGCAATGGATAGCGTGCATATATAATAATGAAGAGGGAAAACAGCGTCAAGTTAAAAAAGACGTGGATTTATTTCATGGGATTAGCTATGTATGTTCTTAGGACCTAAAATGCATTTATGTATCTTAAAAGATATAGGACGACATCACAAGAGAGAAGACGTCGTAAGGTTAGCGACTTAGCGTAGTCCTGGTGGTCATGAACTAGTTATGCCGATT